TTTGGTATTCTACGCGTCATTGTCTTTATCCCCCCGCATACGCCTTATTTTAATGTTTTATTTTGACAGAGAGAGAGACTTCCGCTAAGGCTCTACCACGTGACTGTGTTTCACCAATCAAACGTAGTTGTGCAGTCTCGTCACGTTACCATACTCAATCTCAGCGGCGGGACGGGTTAGCTTTACAGTCATAGCAACACAAAAATGTCAGAATTAGCCGTCGGCAATGCAGACACAGACGAGGAGGAACACCCGCACCCCTGGCCTCATATCGAAAGCATGTTTACCTTAGTAAAAGTGCGAAAGAGCAGCTACATTATGCGGTGTCTTCTGTGTCTACCAAAACAAACGGACATTTCAGCATTCAAGAACTCAACGTCTAACTTGAGGAAACATGTAGCGGTAAGTTTCCTAAATCCTTTTTTTTTTTGCTGTGGATAGGCGAATGTTTGTCTTTTAGGTTACATATGTTTTAAACATTTTCTATCTATATCTATATCTATATCTATATATATATATATATATATATATATATATATATATATATATATATATATATATATATCCAAATTTGATGTGATAATAAGTCTCTTTTAATGTCTTGATCTCCCTGTAGCCTCACAGATTTTTTTTAATCCACAGAGGGTTCACCCCAACAAACTGGCAAAGTACACAGACTTACTAGAGAACCACAGAAAGCGTAAGTCCTCCTCTTCCAGTGATACTCTTTTGAAAAATTCAAAAATCACAGCCTTCGCTGCCCCAGGGCGGGTAACACAAGCAACGCTTGACAAGCTGGTGCTACATTTTGTATGTGAGGCCAACCAACCATTTTCTGTGGTTGAGACGCCATCCTTCAAGACTTTGATATAAACCTTGCAACCTCATACAGTAATGACAAGGAAAACGTTATGCACAAGAATACAAGAAGCTGCAAAACACAAGAAGAGCATAATCATCAAAAAGCTGAGTGCTGTGAACTATGTTGCTACCACAACAGACTGCTGGTCTGCCAGACAACGTAGCTACTTAGGTGTCACCTGTCACTGGATAGACAACACCTCACTGGAGAGGCACTCCGCTGCATTGGCTTGTAGACCTGTCAAAGGCTCGCACACGTTTGATGTCCTTGCTGCTGCATTAGAGGAAATACATTCTGAGTACCACATCAGGGAAAAAGTGACCAGGACGACAACAGACAGTGGCTCAAACTTCCTGAAGGCCTTTCGATTATATGGTGAGGAGAAAGAGGAGGAAGCCATCAATGTACAAAAGGAGAGTGACTCCACCCTTGATGATGCAACAGAAGATCAGAGTGAGTCAGAGGTGGAGTATCAAGATGTGTCTGCTATTCTGGATGACAACACAGGCCTTGAGTACCAACTTCCAAGGCACCAAAAGTGTGCATGCCATCTCCTCAATCTTATATCCACAGTTGATGCCAATGCTGCAGGAGGAGCTGCAAACGAAACCTACAAGAGGCTGTCTCGGTCTGCTTTTGCAAATTGTCATGCTCTTTGGAATAAAACCAGCAGGTCAACCATGGCTCATGAAACAGTGGAACGTGAATGCAAGCTGCAGTTTCTCCGACCCAATCAGATACGCTGGAGCTCCCTGTTCCTTGCTGTAGAAAGGATTGTGCGCATTCACTGAGAGCAAGGAGAACAAGCAATTCGCAATGTCTGCACAGCATTAAAGATAAAGATGTAAGTTGACAACATTTATATTTTGATTTTAAAGAATAATAAAAATAAATAAGCCTAGCTGATTAATGGGTGAATCCACTTGCCTCAAGTAACTACGTTTTCTTTGCATGGTGGTGTGACAATTGTGGATGACTTGAATGAAATAATTTAACTAATTTATTTTATTTTTATTTATTTGTGTATTTAAAATGTACAATGCATAATAAAGACATTGTACCAGAAATAGCTATAAGTAATTTTTTTATCGTTACATCTTTTATAGGTTCAATCCAGCTGAAATTGGGTTTTTGGTCGAGTATGCTGCTGTGATGAAGCCTGTTGCCATGGCCCTTAATATCCTCCAAGAGGAATCATCTGTGCATATGGGTCTCCTGCTGCCAACACTTTACCAGTTGCGGGACAAGCTGAAGAGGTTGGAGTCAACTTGCAAAATGTGTACACCTCTTGTTCACGCCCTGCAGCAAGGGATCCAGAAACGTTTTGGAGACGTCATGAAAGAGCCTGAGCTGATTGCAGCAGCAATACTCCTACCAAGATTCAGAACATCCTGGACCACAGAGGAGAACATCTTAAATGCTGGTAAATATACTTGTTTATCAATTCAAATGTGAGCCAGTAGACATTGACCTATATAACTCTGTATAATGTTACTGTCATTTAGGATTATAGTGTGTCAGTGACAAACCACAGGGTGGCAATATAGTTAGAAGCTCAGGTAGCTTTTAATGTCAAACATCAGCAGCTTGACAGCCTATACAGTAGAAGGGTAAGAATAATGTGCAGACTTAATTCGTTTGAAAAACTATTTATCTTGCCCTAAAACCCACAGGCCTTGACACCGACTTGGATGATGTCACCAGCGCAAACAGCGGCCTCTCTGATGAAGACGACTTCTTTGCATCCATGGAGTTGGGAAAATCACAAGTAGGAGAGCTGGAGAGGTACATTTCATGTCTGTCCCCTGCAGGTATGGATCTACTCCACACATTTCCTCGCATCAAGAAGCTGTCACTCAAAGTCAACACAGGTCTTCCTGCATCTGCGGCCTGTGAGAGACTTTTCAGTCATGCAGGACTCCTGTTCACTGCTAAACGATCACAGCTTCACAGCAAGAACCTTGAGAGCCAGCTACTGTTGAAGCTTAATAGTGACATCACTGAGTGATTCTTTGGTGAAATAGTTTGTTTCTGCATGTTTTGACACACACACACACACACACACACACTCCCAGTGGGGCCTTCAATATAAAAGGGTTTTCATGTTACTGTGCCAAAGAGTTCCTGGACTCCAGTCAACCAGTCAAAGGGCCAGTGTCAGCCTAAAGGTTAGAATATTGCCAAATCTGTTGTCTGTCTGTGGGAGTCTAGATGGGGGAAGCTGCTCCTCTCTCAGCTGCTTTTGAGGTGCTTTTGAGCAAAGCGTTTAATCCCCTTAACTGTGTAATGGCTGTGCTAGAGAGCGCAGAGCTATGAATGTATAACTTCATTGTAAAGACACATCATACATGCTTTATGCTGCTTATCTTGGGGGGGGGGGGGGGACAAGTGTGACTTTTTTTGCTTGTATTCAGCTTAATTTGTGTTCTGGGATACTAGGCCTGCAATATTGTTTTATTTGGCCATCTATCATGGACTGGTGCTTTTTCAGTTGATGTGTACTGCTGCTCTTTTCCTCTGCTCGTGAGATGTGCAGTGTGGCCTAATCACAGATCAGAGTATTAATTTCTAGGCACACAGAAAAAGGGCTGTTGCTTGCCATGCAATACAAAGGTACTGAGTAGGCCTAATCAACACCTATTGATTATTTTACGTTCTGCTTCCTTCTGGTGTGCAGTTTTCTGTTCAGCATGCCTGGTATGAAATGTTTGTTTGTTTCCTTCTGTTGTTCTGTCACTGTGGAGACACACACACACAGTTTATGAGAGTTTATAATAATAATAATATGCCATTTAGCAGACGCTTTTATCCAAAGCGACTTACAGTCATGCGTGCATACATTTTTGTGTATGGGTGGTCGCGGGGATCGAACCCACTACCCTGGCGTTACAAGCACCGTGCTCTACCAGCTGAGCTACAGAGGACCACCCAAAAAATTCTAATTTGCCTAAAGATGATTATTTTGTATTTTTGTCTGTCTGATTGTTGTCTTGTGTTAAAAAATAAATCAGAGGTTACTCAACAGTTACTCAGTACTTGAGTAGTTTTTTCACCAAGTACTTTTTTACTCTTACTCAAGTAATTATTTGGATGACTACTTTTTACTTTTACTTGAGTCATATTATTCTGAAGTAACAGTACTTTTACTTGAGTACAATTTTTGGCTACTCTACCCACCTCTGCACAGGACCAACCACAACAACCGTCCGCCAAAACAACAATTGCCTGCCAAAAATGCAATGTTCTAATTAGTTGTATTTGAAGATGTATTATTATGCTTGTTATCTTTTCTTGTTATATCGTCTTATCCTTTTATAAAATACTATACATGTTCTTTAATATTACAATCCCTATCATGGCTTGTATTGGGTGTTCCATTATTCGACTCCTCTATTAGAACTTTCAGAATAGCCATGGAGTAATCTTTGTGTCTCTGAACATTTGGTTGTCAATATACAGTTTATCGACAACGAGTGCAACACGTTTCCCTTTTAATCTATTTTCCTTGAAGATTGGATACAGAACTTTGAAGATTGGATACAGAATCAGTAGCTAGTAGGCACATAGCTCTGTTTATCAATCTGAGAGTGGTTACAATTCTCAAGGCCCATCCCTTCAGCTTTTTACCAAAATAGAGGCGGTGAGGCTGTTTACCAAAACAGAGGCAGGGACAATTGTTATTGTTTCAACTGTGGATTGCCCCTTTAAAATATAATTTGTAGAGAGTGTTACTGTCCCCACTACAACAATAAATACTTAAATACAGTGTACATGTAATTTTGTCCTTGAAACATTTAATTGAAAATACTGTAGAATTCAATTCAATCCTATGGAGGAATGCTCTTTCTGAGGAGTACCAATATGGTGGATGGGGATTTCAAAATCACTCATTGCCAAAACATAGCATCAGCAATCTAGCGTTTACAGTATATACATCATTGGTGTGCATGTGTGTGCTCTAACTTACCGGGAGATCGTATTCTATGAGACTCAGTATGACATCGGTGCAGATCAGTACTCCTGTTCGTCCTATTCCAGCACTACAGTGTACAGTGACAGGTCCTTTATGGTGGACCGCTCGGAGGTAACAGATAAACCTGACCAGCTGCTCTGAACACCGCGGCACACCGTGGTCAGGTCAATGGGTAAATCTCAGGTGACGGACAAAGTGGGTCTTACCAGACTGGAACAGGAAGAGGGAACAGATATCAATCAACTGATCAATCAATAAAATGTCAAATTGTAATATTTTTACAAATGCGTTTTGATATAACAGAAACCAGGGCCTAAACCCTCTAAGAGACAGCAGAAACGACAGTGGCTTATGGACGACTTAATTGAAATGAGAGAGATTGTGCATCCTTCAAAACTACTTCCATTGGATTTAGTAGATACAAAATTGGCACATTATACTCATGCTAATTCATGCTTGACACATTTCAGCTACACATTTCCCCCTCACCTCTTTCTCCACCATGTGGATGATCTTGATGTGGAAGTATTCCTGGATCTGCTGGTTCTCCAGGCTGAGATGGAAGCGTCCCGTGTCCAGGGGACAGCTGACCCTCTCTGGCCAGTAGCGGTGACACTTCACCCTGCCTCTCTCCACCTCCTGGGTCATCATGGCTATCAAATCAGACCTAGGAAGTGGGGGAGGAGGGTTGTTAACAACTTTGTACTGTTCAATTGTATACTATAAGATTTTAGTTAGAGGTCAGCACTGACACACCATGGATGTGTTCATTAGGCAGCAAACAGAAGAAAACAGACTGAAACAGGGAGGGACTATATGAACTGCTAATTTTCTGTCAAAACAATGTCGTTCGAAACGTTTGTGTATGCACTGATGTCATGTACTGTATGTAAACACTTTTCACAACACAGTAATGACCACAGACCTGTTCTCCCAGACCATCTGCCAGAAGTCGGGCACGGTGGAGGGCAGAGGACCCTGGCAGGAGATATAGAAGAACTCCTCACTGCCAACCTCTATACGGATATAACTGGCATTAATATAGTCCTGGTTATCACACACTGGAACATAAGTCTTATCATCTAGAGAGTGGGAGAAGAGAGTGAGAGAGGGGGGTAGAGAGGGGCAGAGAGAGTTAGTTATATAGTCCTGTGTGTGTGTGAGGAGGACATATTTTCCAAATGACTAACAAAATAATCTGAATCAGAGAAACGGTCAGATGTAAGTCTTGTGACATCTTATCAGGAAGAGAACTAGGGAGGAATGAGTTAGAGACAGTGTATATGAGGAGGACAGGGGATACATTCAGTCATTCAGGTTGTTTTAATGTTTACATGATGAGAGAGGAGTCTGGTTCTCAGGATAACCAGGATGAAACAGGACAGATTCATGAAGAGAGATAAAGTCACTGTGTACTACTATAATAAAACACATCATATATCATACAAATATAATTGTATTTCTATGCCATATACTCTCTGGTCAGTTTCACAACCTTCCCTAACCATGTTTCCTCATTACGGGAGTTAACTCTGAGGACAACTTAACACCCATAAACCATTTTAGGAGGTTTATAAACACAAACATTCTGTCTGATTACGGTTGTACACCACATTTATTTTCCATGGAAAGTCCAGTGAAACACACATTCCTCAGTAGTTTTCCAAAATAGAATAATAAAACAGCATTTCCCAACACATTCAGGTCAGAGATATATTGCACACACACACACGTTTTACGAGGCGACCAGTGTGTTCCACTGGCCAACAGTCTAACAATGCTGTGTTGTTGTTTTACCAGGAACAGTCCAGTCCAGGGAATAGTAAATACTACAGAGTAAACAACATAGAGGAGAAAACACAGATTAACGAATAAAGAGAGGGCACTGGGGAGTAAACTACGTGGGAGGAGAGTCATGATAGACAGAGGGTGAGAAAAGAGGAGCGGAGTGATGGCTGGAGAGAGGGAGGAGAAGAGAAGGAGAGGAATGTTGTGGTCTATCTCACAAGGGGGTCTGATGGAGATCGGGAGTCTCACCACTCAAACCCTCATCCCTCCATCACCCCTCACTCTTCCTCACTACATCCCTTCTTCCCTCGGTCTTCTCTCTCAGTCAAATCTCAACAGAAGCCAAGGCTTTATAGTTGGACTCAGCAGATAGAAACAGAACTCCCAGAGTGAGAAAAGTAAACACTCCACTGTGTGAGTGTGTGTGTGTACGTTAGGGCTGGGCGGTATACCGTATTTAACTATATACCAGTATTGATGCACGGATCGGTTTGGGTTTTTACTTTACCTTCTATAATGGTATTTCAATGTTTGGTTTGTGATACACCGCTCCATTTTTATAGTTTACTTCTGCTACTTGAGTCACCTCTCTCCCTCGGTTGTCACTCGTTACCACAGCCACAATGTCAAAATTGGCTATATCGTAAAAAGTCATGAAAATAAAGCAGTTAGCGGTATGGTTAAGGTTAGGGAAGGTTAGGGTTAGGTTTAAAATCAGATTTGAAGAACATTGTAGAAATAAGCAGCGTTTAGCCATAATTATGACTTTGTGGCTGTGGTAACTAGGGACGACACTCTCCCTCTCTCACCAAGCCTCGCCCCTCACTCAAGGAGCGCAGTTGTTGTTGCTTGACCACGAGATCACAGAGTACTGTCTTTGACGAGATCACTAGCTGACCGTTCACTCTTCAGTCTGCATGGTCAATGCAGCAGATGCACCAATATGTTGATGACAACGATGCTGCTTTCTACTTTGCTTCTTAATATAAATCCACAAGCGTTCTAGAATTGCACTATTCGTTTGTGTATATTACTGTCTGCAAACAGGTAGTTGTCTTTTCTTATCAAGTTGTGGCTAAATAAATTATGTTTGCCACTAATGCTAATTGCTAGGTAGCTGGCTAGTGTACTGAGTCAGTGCAAACATAGCTAGCTAATACAGCCTGAGTAGTGCTGGTGTAGGCCTAAATCAGCATGTTGTTTGTGCAACAGTACCTTATAAATCACAGAAATAGGCAAAGCATGAATATATTAGCTACATGAAGTAAGATACAACATTTAATGTAGCCAAAGATTATAAGGTCCCACTCCCCTGGGAAACACTGACCAACACTTTGGTTCTTACCCTGTCACAATAGAGATCCATAGAGATCCTATTAGTATTCTAATTCCTAATTATATGAACGTCTCCCTGGATCTATCATTCATTGTCATGTCAAACAACACTGTATTCAAATGGCCACTATTGCATTCTAACTATAGAATTAGAATAATGATTCTACTTCCAGAATTTCAACAGATCACCGAAGTGTTTTGATCTAAATCGCAAGTCAAATCGCAATAGCAATATTTGGTTAAAAATAATGCCTAGATTTTTTGCCCATATTGTGCAGCCCTACGTGGCAGTGTGGAAATTATTTTTCAATGGTTGAAGTTTGAGTGAACAGTATGAAACAATCAGAATGGGGAAACCCCCATTGAAATCACTTAAAATGTATGTGTTGCCAACCTAGGGTCATGCACAACTCATTAAGCAAATGTATAACTTTTATTTTTCAAAAAAATCAAATACTGTCAAAAATGTGAAAAATATAATTATATGATATTTTGAACACATCGCCCAGCCCTAGTGTGCGTGCATGCATTTGGGGAGCAGAGCTTTTCCCATAACAATGTTCACAAACCCTCCAACGTGCTAAACTGTATAAGTGTTTTTAGGACTATATGTTTGGAGAACCTTCTGTCTCCAGCTTGTAAGAGGGAGAGAAGTCTCTGACAAGCAGACTTGCCTCACCTATCACTCACACAGCTGTAAATTACCACAGAAATCGGTTTAGTTTCATTTAATTGCCGTGTCGGATGTAGTCCAGTGTGTGTGTGTGCGTGTGTGTTCTATGGAGTCAAGTGCTCCACTGTTCACCTGTAAATGTATACCTTCTGCCACACTCCATCCTGTCACTACCTGCTGTATACAGGAGCGCTGTAGCAGTTTCCTCTCAGGTAATAGTGTTCAGTCAACACTGTAAACATGCTGACTAGAAATGTTTCATTTGTGAGAGTGTGAGTGAAAATAAATATCCTAAATATGGGAAGTCATAAAATAAGGGATAAGATTTGAGTGAACACTGCCCAGCGAGCAAAACTGGTTGCAATGACGATATTATGGTCTGGTTGTAAAAGGACGTTTTGTTGATGTCTTTAAAGTGGCAATCTGCGATTGCTACCTCAATTTCTGGACTTTTAAATTAATGATATACTGTATACCCATTGATTCTTGAAGAATATAACTTGTGAATGCCTCATGAGCTTAGTCCAACTGCGGTACCCCATCAGAACCCAAAATAAAAGCTTGTTTTACTCCAATGTTTGTAACCAATGTCATTGTAAACAAACACTGTATAGCCTCAAAACATGGCTAGAACTGTACATTTGATCTCATGGATGGTAAGTCCTTGCATCCATAGCGCTATCTATGAATTTGAGAGTGGTTACATTTCTCCAGCCCCATCCCTCAGCTGTTTACCATATCAGTGGCGGGGTGAACCACTTTGTTGTTGTTTGAAATGCAGATTTATCTTGAACTATTATCTGACCAGATAACAACCAAAATATGACATCTTTCCAATGATGTCTTGATATCGTCATGAAAAATACCTCTTTATCTGGTTGCAACAAGGATCATTGGGTTGTAATCTTACAACCAGAAAATGACAACATTAAGACGTCTTGTGTCAATTTGGCCCGCAGCTGTTCTCTCCAGCCCCAGCCCAGATTAGATAGTTCTAGTGCAGACTACACAGTAGGGTAAAAGGGACTGTAGTTTAACTGGTTTAACAGGGACTTTAAAGGGCAGAATGTCCCGGTAGTGGTTCTTCTCCCGGTTCTCAGGAGCTTTCCCCACCAGACAGTTATCAGATGGCTTTAGATGCTCCAAGGCCTGAAACAAACAACACAATCAACACAACACAAACAACACCAACTGAAAATGTTTGCTGCTGCTATTGAAAAGGCAGACCAAGGTGCATGATATGGTTAGCATACTTCATAAGTGTGTGTTTGCGTGTATATGTGTGTGTGTTTGTGTGTGTGTGAGGAACACAAAGTGTATACCCACCATGAACTCTCGGACCAGTTCTTGCTGGTCTAGTTGATGTTGTAGTATCTGGGCTTTCACACTGGACCCAGAGTATTGACTGGTCTTAGCTGGACTGATCATGGCTAGGCTGGCCAACTTCTTCTGAAACTATAGGTGGGCCTTTAGTAATTTAGCAGACACTCTTATCCAGAGCGACTTACAGGTTAAGTGCCTTGCTCAAGGGCACATAGACAGATTTTTCACCTAGTCGGCTCGGGGATTCGAACCAGCGGGCTTTAGAGCAAAGGCTCTTAACCGCTAGGCTACCTGTAGTAAGGTTTTTATAGACCAACCATTTAACAGTGCTAGAAAAAGAAGAAGCCATGGTGCAGAGCTCCTGGAGAGTTTTAGTGGTTAAGTACCTTTGCTCAAAGGCACAACGGCAAAATAAATACCCATCAGACTTGGGATTTGAACCGGAGGCCCTGCCCTGCCACTGTACATTAGAAGGGTGACATATATTTTCCTGACCATTAGCTTCAAACATCTCATCATCCTCATCCTCGCTGCTCCAGCCATCTGATTGGCTGTTCTTGCTGCCCGTCATGGGTTCGCCCAATGGCGTCACAGGGATTTGGTTCCGGGGGGGGGGCAGGGATGAGACCATTCCTACTCTTCTGTAGGGGGCAGACCAGACCATTTATAGTGTTCCGTAGGAGGGTTGAAATCATGCAAGGCTGAGCCTCCCTTCCCTGCTCCTTTTTAACCTGACCTACAGGGTCCCACTTTAAATGACATTCAGCTTATAAAGGCTTCATAATACCTTCCTAATGCCTTCATAAGCACTACATACATGTGTTACAAAGCATCTATAACTGTATGCCATGCGTTATAAAGGGTTCATAAATGTGTCATAACTGTGTGACATAATCACCAATGTCAAATGTGATTTAACCCACTATGTTGAATATAATAAATACATGCTTTATAAATGGTGACATTTCGTGCTGAAGGATGGCAAACACTCTAAAGTGATGTCATGTTAGTCACATTACACCTAATCTCGTTCCCAGACACATGCACCCAAATGCACGGAATGTCTGGTGGACCAACGCATCAAATTTGGCCTTCATTAGTTAGGGTTAGGTTTAAAATAACAATTTTAAGAAGATACATTGTGGAAATGGGAAGGTTTACACAAATACATCACTCAGTTAGGTCACTCCTATAGAATTATATGGTCATACAAAAAACGTTATACACTTAAGCCTAACATTCCATACATCAATAATACTATGCTCTACTGAGGCAGGCCCTGATATCATAATATCACTGCACCAATGTTCTTTAAACAACCTGAGAGATTCTCACAAAATCAGTTAGTCAATGAGGTTAAGGGAAAGGGGGATACCTAGTCAGTTGTACAACTGAATGCATTCAACTGAAATGAGTACCATACCATACGGAGCACGACTGAAGTCCTTACTCTACGGAGGCTTTGCTTTCAACTGCTTTCTCTAAGCAGGCCCTGATATCCTAATGCCAAGGGCACATCTTATCTTTAACCCAAACACCAGATGTGCTCTGGAGGGAGCAACTAATTTACAAGCTATTTAGGTCAGAGGCGTTGTTAATGTTTTTAATGGCCAGTCCAGGGAATAGTAAATACTAAAGAGTAAACAACATAGAGGAGAAAACACAGATTAACGAATAAAGAGAGGGCTGAACCTCTTGATTGGTAGAAGTTATTTCTGTTCTGATATCAGATTTCAATAGCAGAGAAGACTAAGCTTTCATACCCTTTAAGTATTTGTCTAAGTTGTTGGGAAAGTGGTCAAAGTAGCTGATTTGCACCAAAAGTTAAATTGTTTACAGTGAATAAAATGTTGAAAGTCACAGCTTTAGAATTGGAGTTTTTAACAATGGGAGGTTTACAATGTTGAATAAATCCCATTAAAAAGTGTATGAAGTTTAATAAAAATGTAATAGTTTCAGTATACATTGTTTCAAAAAGTTGAATGCAAACACACTATTCCAGACCAGTCTGCACTTTTTAAAGTTTGAATGGCATATCTAGCTTAAACGGTGTAAGAGTATTGTTCCAAATAATAAGTCAGAAAAAGGTGTAACATTATTTTATAAATAATTGTATTATGACACATCGTTACTGATATACTAAAAGCCAATTTATGCTTGATCCGACAATGTGGTCAGGAGGCTCCGTACAGAGGGTGTGACGCAATTGCGGAGCCTCCAGAGGCTTGCGGAGGCCAAATCGAGCTCCGACGGCAATGCCGTGCGTCTCCCAAATTTGGTAACAATACAGTGGCTTGCGAAAGTATTCACCACCCTTGGCATTTTTCCTATTTTGTTGCCGTACAACCTGGAATTAAAATGGATTTTTGGGGGGTTTGTATCATTTGATTTACACAACATGCCTACACTTTGAAGATGCAAAATATTTTATTGTGAAACGAACAAGAAATAAGACAAAAAAAAACAGAAAACGTAAGCGTGCATAACTATTCATACCCCTCAAAGTCAATACTTTGTAGAGCCACCTTTTGCAGCAATTACAGCTGCAAGTCTCTTCGGGTATGTCTCTATAAGCTTGGCATATCTAGCCACTGGGATTTTGCCTATTCTTCAAGGCAAAACTGTTCCAGCTCTTTCAATTTGGATGGGTTCCGCTGGTGTACAGCAATCTTTAAGTCATACCACAGATTCTCAATTGGATTGAGGTCTGGGCTTTGACTAGGCCATTCTAAGACATTTAAATGTTTCCCCTTAAACCCCTCAAGTGTTGCTTTAGCAGTATGCTTAGGGTCACTGTCCTGCTGGAAGGTGAACCTTCATCCCAGTCTCGAATCTCTGGAAGACTGAAACAGGTTTCCCTCAAGAATTTCCCTGTATTTAGCGCCATCCATCATTCCTTCAATTCTGACCAGTTTCCAGTCCCTGCCGATGAAAAACATGGATGCTGCCACCACCATGCTTCATTGTGGGGATGGTGTTCTCGGGGTGTTGAGAGGTGTTGGGTTTGCACCAGACATAGCGTTTTCCTTGATGGCCAAAAAGCTCAATTTTAGTCTCATCTGACCAAAGTACCTTCTTCAATATGTTTGGGGAGTCTCCCACATGCCTTTTGGCAAACACCAAACATGTTTGCTTATTTTTTCTTTAAGCAATGGCTTTTTTCTGGCCACTCTTCCGTAAAGCCCAGCTCTGTGGAGTGTACAGCTTAAAGTGGTCCTATGGACAGATACTCCAATCTCCACTGTGGAGCTTTGCAGCTCCTTCAGGGTTATCTTTGGTCTCTTTGTTGCCTCTCTGATTAATGCCCTCCTTGCCTAGTCCGTGAGTTTTGGTGGGCGGCCCTCTCTTGGCAGGTTTGTTGTAGTGCCATATTCTTTCCATTTTTTATAATGGATTTAATGGTGCTCCGTGTGATGTTCAAAGTCTCTGATCTTTTTCTATAACCCAACCCTGATCTGTACTTCTCCACAACTTTGTCCCTGATCTGTTTGGAGAGCTCCTTGGTCTTCATGGGGCCGCTTGCTTGGTGGTGCCCCTTGCTTTGTGGTGTTGCAGACTCTGGGGCCTTTCAGAACAGGTGTACAGTGGGGAAAATAAGTATTTAGTCAGCCACCAATTGTGCAAGTTGTCCCGCTTAAAAAGATGAGAGAGGCATGTCATTTTCATCATAGGTACACGTCAACTCATTTTTTTTTCCAGAAAATCACATTGTAGGATTTTTTATGAATTTATTTGCAAATTATGGTGGAAAATAAGTATTTGGTCAATAACAAAAGTTTCTCAATACTTTGTTATATACCCTTTGTTGGCAATGACACAGGTCAAACGTTTTCTGTAAGTCTTCACAAGGTTTTCACACACTGTTGCTGGTATTTTGGCCCATTCCTCCATGCAGATCTCCTCTAGAGCAGTGATGTTTTGGGGCTGTCGCTGGGCAACACGGACTTTCAACTCCCTCCAAAGATTTTCTATGGGGTTGAGATCTGGAGACTGGCTAGGCCACTCCAGGACCTTGAAATGCTTCTTACGAAGCCACTCCTTCGTTGCCCGGGCGGTGTGTTTGGGATCATTGTCATGCTGAAAGACCCAGCCACGTTTCATCTTCAATGCCCTTGCTGATGGAAGGAGGTTTTCACTCAAAATCTCACGATACATGGCCCCATTCATTCTTTCCTTTACACGGATCAGTCGTCCTGGTCCCTTTGCAGAAAAACAGCCCCAAAGCATGATTTTTCCACCCCCATGCTTCACAGTAGGTATGGTGTTCTTTGGATGCAACTCAGCATTCTTTGTCCTCCAAACACGACGAGTTGAGTTTTTACCAAAAAGTTATATGTTGGTTTCATCTGACCATATGACATTCTCCCAATCCTCTTCTGGATCATCCAAATGCACTCTAGCAAACTTCAGACGGGCCTGGACATGTACTGGCTTAAGCAGGGGGACACGTCTGGCACTGCAGGATTTGAGTCCCTGGCGGCGTAGTGTGTTACTGATGGTAGGCTTTGTTACTTTGGTCCCAGCTCTCTGCAGGTCATTCACTAGGTCCCCCCGTGTGGTTCTGGGATTTTTGCTCACCGTTCTTGTGATCATTTTGACCCCACGGGGTGAGATCTTGCGTGGAGCCCCAGATCGAGGGAGATTATCAGTGGTCTTGTATGTCTTCCATTTCCTAATAATTGCTCCCACAGTTGATTTCTTCAAACCAAGCTGCTTACCTATTGCAGATTCAGTCTTCCCAGCCTGGTGCAGGTCTACAATTTTGTTTCTGGTGTCCTTTGACAGCTCTTTGGTCTTGGCCATAGTGGAGTTTGGAGTGTGACTGTTTGAGGTTGTGGACAGGTGTCTTTTATACTGATAACAAGTTCAAACAGGTGCCATTAATACAGGTAACGAGTGGAGGACAGAGGAGCCTCTTAAAGAAGAAGTTACAGGTCTGTGAGAGCCAGAAATCTTGCTTGTTTGTAGGTGACCAAATACTTATTTTCCACCATAATTTGCAAATAAATTCATTAAAAATCCTACAAATGTGATTTTCTGGATTTTTTTTCCTCCATTTGTCTGTCATAGTTGACGTGTACCTATGATGAAAATTACAGGCCTCTCTCATCTTTTTAAGTGGGAGAACTTGCACAATTGGTGGCTGACTAAATACTTTTTTCCCCAACTGTATATACACTGAGATCATGTGACACTTAGATGGACACAGGTGGACTTAATTTAGCTAATTATGTGACTTCTGAAGGTAATTGATTGCACCAAATCTTATTTAGGGGCTTCATAGCAAATAGGGTGAATACATGGTCCTCTGTAGCTCAGTTGGTAGAGCACGGCACTTGTAACGCCAAGGTAGTGGGTTCGATCCCCGGGACCACCCATACACAAAGAAAAAAATTATGCACGCATGACTGTAAGTCGCTTTGGATAAAAGTGTCTGCTAAATGGAATATTATTTATTATATTATTACATATGCACACACCACTTTTCAATTATTTATTTTGTAGAATTTTTTTAAAAAAGTTATTTTTTTCATTTCACTTCACCAATTTGGACTATTTTGTGTATGTCCATTACATGAAATTCAAATAAAAATCCATTTAAATTACAGTTTGTAATGCAACAAAATAGGA